AAAATACTGATCACAAACTTCTGAATAGTAGCATAATTATAGATAAATACATGGCCCAGATCAAATAATCAGCCAAAATGAGGCAATTTTTGGTAATGCCAGAATAGAGCCAGATTGCACAAATAAATACTTAGCTGTTGGTTAATAATATCCATCAGCCCACATCAGTAGAAAAAGGAAAGATGTTTTCAGAATTGATTTTAAAGAATTTAGTTTTTGTTGTTGTTGTTAACATTCGAATTATATACTACTACCACAACGTTTTATGTGCAACATCAAGAACTGGAAGGTTCACAATATGTGCACTAACTACAATTCTGATTTCACATTGACCTTAATATGCATCGGCCTGTGCTGTCAGTTCTCTTTTTGTGACCGGCATTCAGTAAAGTTGGCATTACCTTATGAGAAAGCACTAAAAAGCACTCCCGGATCGGCTGTCCTTGATTGTGGAAAAGAGTAAGTCATCAGTCAACACTGTTGCTGTGCGCTGGGCTAGATAATGTGAACGTGGAAGAAAAGCTCCAGTGGAAATGAGGCAATCTGCCCCCATACAGCTGCAGCAGGACCGTGCGGTTCAAACGGCCACCTGTGTGACAGGCCGGACACGAGCCACCTGACTGGCACGGCCCACACTCTGCTCATTTTCCACACGCCTTCGAGAAATGAAAGCCTTTGGTTCCCTCACAGTCGCCTGGCTCAATCCTCCTGTCAGGATTTGATTTCTAACACTCACTCTCTCATGCGTGATTGAAGACCTGTCCGTCATGTCGAACGTCAGATGTCAAAACCGAGTTAAGATGCTTTTGAAAGCATTTAGCATTAAAAATACAACTAAATGAGTCGCTTTAACAAGCACAAAGCTTTTATCTCACAGATAAAGCTCAAAAAGAGAGTTCAGATAGGGTTTACACAAGAGATTGAACAGAATGTCCATCTGGCATTTCATACAGAAACCCTGCTTTCGTGATTTATCCTCCAAAAAGCACCAGTTCTCCACTGGCATAAACATTTGGGCTATTTATGCGCTCTAATATCAGACTAAACCCTATACTTTCCTATTGGCTCGCAAACACACATCTGAAGCAGTGTCGGCCTCACCTTTCAGCTTCATCTCTCCAAACTTGATAAAAGGTCTGAAATCTAAACTTCCTGTCATTTAGAAAGAGCAAACAAGAAGCGAAAAGCGACGGAGGCGATCCGGCAGACGCTTCCACCTGTTCGTGACAGAACAAATGCCAAAGAACTGGAGAAGAAACCTCTTATTATTGAGAAGCAGCCTCTCGTGGGGACACTGACAGCCTTATCAGGTGTGCAGCAGAGATCTTGCCAACAAATCCTTTCTCTGCCGTGAGATCTACACTCTGCCTGTGAATGAGAAGCTTAAAGGGTCTCTGATGGTACATCAAGCAGACAGAACTTCCATCAGAGGAATGCATATCAACTCACCTACAGCTCGAGCAGATCTGTAGTCCTTGAACATCATGTGTTAAGCAGACGCTCAATCTCCCGGTGACGGCACCCTGTTAAGAAGACAATACAGGCTTAGCTGCATTTAGACGTTAAGGGGACTGAGGTGTCTCTATGAAACAGCCTTGTGAGTATATATCAGTGAGAAAAAACAGATGACTTTTCATTAGCATAATAAATGTCTTGGAGAAGGCAATCTAAATTCAGCGAGAAACAAATATACAAATAAACCCAAAATATCCATAATGCACAGCAGTTTAGTAGTCAAAGTCGCCTGGGATCATCTGATTCAAGAATAGCCAGAGTCCAAAATTAACTGTTTACTTCAGCTCCCGATAGCGGATGAGCTGAGTTTATTTACCAGGCATAAATATTTCTTCCCAGGCCTGAAACTGCATTTTGCATTTTTATTAAAAATGTTTTTTTTTGTCCCTCATGACAATGGAATTATCTTGCATATTTGTGGCAGCGCAGGTCACTGTGTCACTCCTACAGTCTGTCTTTCAGCGAAACAGCACCTGTCATAAAAACTGTGAAGATTAGAATTTTGATTAGAATTTTGGGTCTTATATTTTTGCGTCAGTAGCTTAAAGGGATAGTTCACCCAAAAATGAAAATTAGCCCATTATTTACTCACCCTCAAGTCATCCTAGGCGTATATGACTTCCTTCTTTCAGATTAATCCAATTGGGAGTTATATTAAAAATTGTCTTTGATCTTCCAAGCTGTTTAATGGCAGTCAGCAGGTGTTGCAGTTCATCAGTCCAAAAGAAGTGAAATAAAGCGCATCCATCCATAATAAAAAGTGTCTCACACTGCTCCGGGGGGTGAACAAAAGCCTCCTGTAGCGAATTGATGCATTTTTGTGAGAAAAATATCCATATTCAAAGCGTAATAATCACTTTAATCTAGCTTGCGCCAACAGTTGTATACGGAAGCAGCTCCGGGCGGATGACGTAAGATGTCTTTATTCACCCCCCGGAGCTGTGTGAGGCACTTTTTATTGTGGATGGATGTGCTTTATTTCACTTCTTTTGGACTGATGAACTGCAACACCCGCTGACTGCCATTAAACAGCTTGGAAGATCAAAGACAATTTTTTATATAACTCTGACTGGATTCATCTGAAAGAAGAAAGTCATATACACCTAGGATGCCTTGAGGGTGAGTAATTCATGGGCTAATTTTCATTTTTGGGTGAACTAACCCTTTAATGTGAGGGACATTGCACAATATGTGTTGCCAAATGGTGTTCTGGAGTTCGTTTAGCATCCTAGATAAGCATCTGGGACTGGATTTACAAAATCAAATCATTTATTAAAATTATTCTTAACTGCTTTTTTTTTCTAACAATAGAGGTCAATAATGTTTTGTATTCACTAAAACATTTAAGAATATTCATAACTTGCTTCTTAAGACGAAACTTCAGAAAAATCTGAATTCCTGAAAAGAATTTTCTTAAAAACCACTGTAAATAACTTCTTGTAAAACTGTAAAAATTGAAGCATAAACTTAAATTTGTCTCATATTCCTAAAGGCAGCGATGGGTTGTAACTGATGAAATGTAAATGACCAATCAGCGCTGTGTAAGAATCTGCTCAACAGTGCTCAGATGTTAGCGGGAAATGGACGTTTTTAAAATTTCAGTACCGAATGGTATCGCAGTTGGTACTTTTGACAACACAACTCCATCTTAAACAAGCTGATAACTACTTACACGGCACGTTAAAAAAAGTGCAACACGCAAATTGATGTTGGACTCCCTTCAAGCCATTTGTGACAAAAAATGTTTGTGTGCCATTTTTGATTAGGTAACCTGTCGACGGTGCAAAATGATGGTAAGGGTGTTTATCGAGTTGATCAGCAGGTCTTTGGCCAAAACCGCCATACAATCAGACAACACCAAGCCTGTCATTTTCATCTTAACACAAGATGTTCTAAAGAAATAATACAGAATTTTTTCAGGAAGTGCACTTGGTAACATCTTAGAATTTATTTTTAGAGGATTTTTGTGAATCTGTTCCCTTGATGATAAATTCTGCACAGAAGTAAATAGTTATAAGGCACATCAAACCAAGGAGGTTTTTTAGTAGATGATCTATGTATTCGAATTAAACAAGCAACTTCCACAAATGTCAGATTTAAACCATGTAATATCGCAGTTCCTCGGTAAGTTAAAGGCCAACTAACTTGCTGAAGGCTTGAAGAGTGTAAATTCCAACCTGTGCTACATTTATACTTTTCAAACTATGACATTAAATGCATAAAGGACATTAACATTATGCATCTTTGTGTTTCAAAACTGCAATCGCATATCTAGGTTTCATTCAGATCTATAATTGAAATGTCAGAAATCATGAGTGCCGTCTTTCATCACTTTGGTCTGTGAATGCTTTGATTCACAGATTCATAGACAGAGCACCGTTCTGGAAACATATTATATTATGAAATCAAGAGTCAGCCAATAACACAATCAAAAAACAACCTTGTCTAGACAGGAATGAGTGTTTTGCAGTGACTGGTCTCATGTACTCTGGTCAGTACAGAAGCGTGTGAGTCTTGAGAGAGTTTGTGGAAACAGTCTTCCTCAAATAGCAGTAAGTCCAAGATCCACCTGTCACTTCCTCTTTGACCCTTCGCCCACAACATGGTAATGAACTCTAACCTCTTGACATTTGTCCGAGTCACTATTTTCCCCCGAGTCTCTGGCTGGCCAGACCTAAATCACACTGCTTTTATTAGAAATATCCAATTTGAACTGAACAAACATCACCACAAAAAAAATTTAAAATTAAAAAATTAAAAAGATAAAGTGAGAAGAAAAGAGATGAGAATGTCTAAATGGAATATAAATAATAAATATAAATAAACAGGTTGCAGCACATACTCAACTGCAAGTTTAAATAATGCAAGATATGTTGATACAATAACAATGTGTTTAAAGAAAAGAAACAGATGTTTACTTTGAATTAAAAGCAAATTTTTTTGTGCAACTAAAATAGATTTCATGTATAATGTGGGACTTAATCATAAACAAGCCCGAAATGCATTTGGACTTTCAAAGGTCTGTGCTTTATCACTCCAAGATGCTCATTCAAAAAAGATGCAATTTTACAGCCATACTAAATTAAGCATTTTGATAATTCATCAATAGTAGATCATAGTAATCACTTGGCATAATGGCTCTGTATTCACTGACTGCAAAGCTCTCTGAAACAACAAGCTTGTAGAACGTGTAACCGCGCAGTGATTTTACTTTAAACGTGTAATGCAACCATTTGTTTCATTACATCATAGCCTTCTGAAGTGTAATAATCATAAGGGCATATTGCAATTCTTGTTTTTCCATCGCAGAATGTAAGACTTCTTAAAATGATAATTAAGACTGTTATACCAGTTAAAATATTTAAGACTAGTGAACTTTTTATGGGTTATCAAAAAATGTAGGGCAGAGACTGTTGACTGGATGTTGAGATGTGGAGGCAGATAAACATGAGCTTGCAATGGTGGGTTTAAGCGGACTAAATTATTGGAGAAATCCTGCATGACAAAATGGCCATGTACATACTGTAAAGTTTCAGGAGTGACAGCTGCGTTTAAATATGGGGTTTTTGTGTATGTACAGAATGAACCTCACTCCTGAAATTGCGATGACTTACACTGATTGATCGGTTTGCCATATTAATCGGCACCGATAGCTGGAACAAACAATAGTTTTTATTATATGTCATTGTACAGCACGAGAGCAGCCTCTAGAGGCGGAATCACTGACGCCTCATGCTGTTTGTTTTGACAGGTGAGGTTACGCGCAGCACAAAGCAGGAGAATTCAGTTGCGTATTTAAAATACAGACAACAAAACGGTTTGTATACAGTATATTACTGTACGTTTTCATATCATTATAAAATAATTTGTTGATTAGGTGCTGCATTAGTAGAAAAAGAACAGCAGTAGGCTATGTTGGCAGACAGAGAGGACACTAACAGTACTTCAAACGGTTAAAACAACGTGACAAATACATGCAAATTCAACCCAAATGTTTGATTTCAATCGATTATGTTGCCATGTTGTTATGTTACCATCTTTTTGTATTAGTTTATGTCCAGTCATAATAAAAATTATTTTGTTCAGACGTAAACATAAGCTATACTAGGCAACACAAGCTGCAGGAGTCAGATTCGACTGATCACAGGTATAAGAGAGTAAGGAGAGATGACTGACAAGACCACGGTGGAGGATTTCGCTCAACAGATCCTGAGCTCACTGACAAATATCTGATCTTATAAAATGTGCTCCGTTTATACAGAGTACGTGTGATCAAGAAAACAAAACTGAAAGTGAACAGCGAGCGCTCATTCAAAAGCAATTTCAATACACTGCATATTAATAGCGGCTCCCTGATGAGTGAAAATGATATACAATATTTAGTGGTCAACCGATGTCTCACCAAGGCCGATATATCGACCGATATTTGACATTTTTCATATATTTTTATGAAGTTTTTCTGTTTGGCCGATGCGTTCGAGACAGGACTTTTATTTTGACGGCGCTGAGAAGAACGGCAGCGCCTGAACACACAGTGCTCACATTCTCCCTCTTGTTCGTTGTCGTCGTTAACAGTTCAGTCTAATACGGGTAGAAGTCTGTCTAATAATCCGATAGAAGGGTTAGACAAAGGAATTAAAATACAAAGTATTATATAATTAGTAATAGAAAGGCAAACATTATAATACGTTCTCGTTTGCCGTCAGCATTCAGCAAATACACATTTATATCATTTAAACAAATCTTTGAATGAATAATGAACATTTAATTTCACAAACCTTGCAAACATAGTCGAATCCTGTTGTGAGATCGTGTGAAGTATGCATGTGTATCCTGCATGATCGCCTGTTCTCTGTGTGATGGTCAGTCCGTGTGAATTGAATGCGGACAGGAGAAGAGTTCTGCTTGACTGGAGACGCGCGATCGACAAACTTGTAATTAACTTTTTCACTGTGTGCTGTATGTAAACTGAGTGTTACCTTGGCTTTATTTGAAAAAATATAATTCC